TGGGACAAGTGCAGAAAATTGGGATTAGTGCACTTTTACTGGTAGTTATGTTGGTGCAGACTTGATGGGCCGAAGGGCCTTTTCTGCATAGTATGAATCTACAAAACACTATTACAGGTCCAGGATGGAAGTATTAGCACAGGAGAAAAATATTTTATTGCAATGGCAAGCAACTGGAAGGTCAGGATCATACATATGAACAGAGCAGAGGTATTCTGCAAAGTGGTCAACCAGAATGTGTTTGGTCTCACCAAAGCAAAGAAGGCCACATTGTGAGTACCGAATTCAGTAGATTAGATTAACAGAGTACAAATAAAATGCTGCTACACCTAGTTTGGAACCTTGGACAGTGAAGGAGGACGCAGTGGAATGGCACATGTTAAACTTTCTGCAATTCTCTCAGGTCTAACCCTGCCTTTGCTATTAAATCTGCTGATAAGGATGGTGTTATCATCCAGCATGCCAACCATTACCTTGCAGAGGACGGGCGCCAACGCGCAGACATTTTCTCCTGTCACATTCTGGACCACGAACCCACCACCAAATTGTCAGTTGCCCTGCAATGCTTCCGTATTCTTTTGCTTTGTAAACATACATGTTCCCCTTCCAGAACCCTCCCTGCCTCTAATTAGTTTAAAGTCCACTCTACACCTTCATTATTGAATTCACCAGGGCACTGGTCCCAGCACTATTCAAGTGATACCCATCCTATAAGTATGGCTCCTGCAAATTTAACCCAAATACTCAAGGTCTGGAAGTTCCACAACCTAAACTGCTCTACTGGGGTAAAATATTCCCTTAGCTCTCTTAAAAAACTCATATACTAATCTTGCTTCTGATCCAGTCAAGTCCCTTTCGAACAGCCCTAAAAGTTTTCAACCAGGGTTTTCTGAACCAACAATCAATCCTTGATTAATCTAAACTGAAAACAAGCCGTTTTCATTCCACCCATTGTAAACCAACCCAGAAAAAAAATTCTGTTAATTCTCCAGAGGTGCCTACTCTCTGACACATACCACAATATGTGTGACTACAATAAATCAAAATCAAACTCTTTTTTCCCCAGGGTTCGGGAATCGAGGATTAGAAAGCATCAGTTTAAGGTAAGAAGGGAAAGAATATATGGGCAACTTTTTTTCTTTTTACAAACAGGGTGGTATTCATATGGAATGAGCTGCCAGCAGAAGTGGTTGAAATGGGTACATGAGTAACATTTAAAAGGCTTTTGGATAGGAAAGGTTTAGAAAGATATGGGCCAAGTGCAGAGAAATGGGGTTAACATGGATGGACATTTTGGTCGGCATGGACCAGTTTGGGCCAACGGGTCACTTTTGGTCACTTTTCTGGAAGGACTGTCTGGGCTAGTTTTTTTTTGTAAAAATCTTTCACAATAAATCACCAAGGTCCGTAACATCTCTATTTTAAAATCAAACAGCAAAAATGGTATTTAAATGTACTTTTTTTTTTAAAGTCAGTCACCGTTCATAACTCGGTAGTATAGAACACGAGTATTACTGTAATAAAAGGGACTTGTCACTGAAGCTTTTTGGCTTACACTCAGCAGGACAGGTGCAAAGTTACCAAATTTTAATGTGAGCAACAATTTATATTACACAAGGAAAAGGGTGTTAGTTGGGTGGCAGGTTGTGAGATTGGTCGAGGAATCACTGTGGAGCTACTGTCCCCCACAAATTTGTTTAATTCATAGAATCCATAGAATCCCTACAATGTGGAAACAGGCAATTCAGCCCAACAAGTCCACACCGACACTCTAAACAGCATCCCACCCAGGCTCACCCCACCCCCCAACTCTATTCCTGTAACTCTACATTTCCCATGGCTAATCTACCTAACCTACATATCCCTAGACACTATGGGCAATTTAGCATGGCCAATCCACCTAACTTGCACATCTTTGGACTGTGGGAGGAAACTGGAGCACCCAGAGGAAACCCACACAGACACGGGAAGAACAAGCAAACTCCACACAGACAGTCGCCCGAGGCTGGAATAGAATCCAGGATCCTGACACTGTGAGGCAGCAATGCTAACCTCTCAGTAATTCAGTAAAGATAAAATACCTGGACATGTTTTTTCTCTCCCAGAGGTCCCTATATTATGAATGTACGTAGCTTATAGCAAGTGTTACATGGAAGCTTGATGGATAATCAAATTGATTGTTTGTGTAATACTTGCCACACTTGGAATTATTCGTGCATTGTCCAATCTCAGAGTCACATTGCACTTTGGACATTATGTTCTGAGCTTTGCAAGCAAGTACAAGTCAAGTATGGTCAGCACTCTGCTTCCTGCACTCAGTTGAAGAGATGTGCTGCTTGATATGATTTGCAAGTCATTTGGACTGTATGGTCTATGAACTTGACATCTCACTGGCACCAAATATCTCATTACTCATTTGTGTGGTAGACAGAAGGTCCTTTCAGTTTGAAAGCAGCATTGTATCACTACAGAATACCATTCCTGTTGCTACTAAAAATAGTAGTAGAGTGAAAGACCTTCACCTGTTGCTCAATATTTTGAGGTACCCTTACCCTTCCAGGATGATTGAAGTTGGACTCACATTTTTCAGGTCCCAGACTAACATCCCATTTGAGAGTTTGTGCAATATGCAACGAGCAATAATCTGATCAGGATCATCATCATTAACAATCTGCAGGATTTGATTGTTGTGCACTATTTTGATGCAAAGGTGCTATGCAAATGAAAATCTGTTTCTTGTTTAAAGCAACGAAATTAACAAATCAAAAACAAATTGCTCAAAGCAGGCTTTTTAAGGAGGGCACAGTAAAAGCAAGACTTTAGAACTAATTCAATGGAAACAAAAGTACATCAGCCTGCAAATATCTTCTGAAGCCATTGTTACTAAATTCTCTCTCCCAAACTCCAGTCGATGCTAATACTGACCAAAAGATTTCTCACTGGGACGTCAGTATAACCAGCAGCAAAGTGGTAAATTTTAGCTGAGAAAGAGTTAGAAGCAGAATGCCTAGTCAGTTTGTACCTGATGGGAAGAGTAGAAAAGTGCAAATGGTAAATATGCAAAAGCGGTATATTAAAAAAGTTGAATTTTTACCATTATCATCGAGTGTAAGGTCTACAACCTCTGCAGACGTGGTATGGTGTCCAGGTGGGGCCTGGAGCCTGGAACTTGCTGCTTTCTTTACATTGTGGCCAATCCACGTTCCCGATACTGAGGGCCTGCATAGATGCAACAGAATGACAACAGTAGTGCACAACAGAATCTTACACTTCCTACTGTAAATCCCACAAACCTACAGCAGCGCAAGCTGACATGAAAACAAGCTGCGATACTAAAATCCAACATATAACTGATCCATGTGACACAGGCATACACCTTGCAAATAACCACAATTTACAGCAGCTATCGCTACAGCAGAACCCTGCACCAAACCACACTCCCTCAAGCAGCTGGAGAAAGTATTGCCCACATCCACACTGCAGCCTCCCATTCAGGGAGGGAGGGAGGCAGGCAGGCAGGCTTCTCTGCCACCTTACCTTTCGTCATCTACAACATTGATGATCTCCACCTCGCTATCGCTGGATGTGATGTTCACTTCCTCATTAACTGGTAAAGTGGAGCTGGTCAGAGGCTCAATGACCAAAACGTCATCTTCATCCATTGGGTCTGTGGAGAAAGCAAATGATTTCATACAGTTTGTTGATTTTCAGAGATTAACTACAACCAATGTGGGCCCATTAGCTCTGTTAGCTACATGTCTAGTCCCTAGATCAGATTAACATACAGACTTCAATCTCTGGCTGAAGCAGACTCCGGGCCTGCCCAGCACCCTATGAACATTAAAATAAAAATCAAAGGTTTGTCAAAGTGGTGTGAATAATCTCCAAGGATCTGCCTTTTGGCAGAGCTATGTTTAGTTCAAGCGCTATGATCACCCGGTTATTTTAAATTTCTACACTGATCTCCATAACAGCAACCACCCTAATGATGCGTGTGTGATTCCCCCCAAACATCATTACATCCAAGGCTGAAAGTATATAAGAGCTCAACAGGCTCTTGCCAGTACTTGCGCTCCAACTGAGTTTCATGCAACCCTATCAAGGATTGTAGAGGTGCCGGTGTTGGACTGGGATGGACAAGATCAGAAATCACACGACACCAGGTTACAGTCCAACAGGTTTATTTGAAAACACAAGCTTTCGGAGCCTCACTCCTCCCTCAGGTGTTAGTGAGGTGGTATCAAACACAAAAAATTTATAAGTAAAAGATCAAAGGGTCACACCACTGATGAGGATGTATTAAACAGGTGCTGTTAAATCTTTAATCAGTTAGAAGGTTTTAATTGATTAATATGTATATGTAAATCACCAAATTCCTTTCAAGTCACTGTCCTGACAAAACTAAAGGTTTTATCAGTGTAAAGGAGGTGGTGACCCTATCAACAGATGCTTTTGTTCCCATAAAACAAACTCTGTTCCAGCATGATGCCTAATTCTGGGCACCAGATGTTGGGAAAGATGTTAAGGCTTTCAAGTGAGTACAAAAGAGATTTATTGGAAAGGTGTCAGGGATGAAAGATTACAGTTACACAGAGAGACTGAAAATGTTACATTTACTCTCCATAGACCAGAGAAGTCAAAGCAAATTGATACAGGTATTCAAAATCATGAAATGTTTAGAGTAAACCAAGATAAACGTCTGAGGGGACGAAAGTCAGAAAACCAGAGGACAGAGATTTAAGCTGATTGGCAAAAAATACCAGAGGCAACATGAGGAAAACACTTTTTTAAGCAGATTGGTTATGATCTAGAATGTACAACTGATAATGTAATGAATACTTTTCATTCGAGCCTTTACAAGATGATTGGAGGGGAAAGTCGGGAGAGGGCAAGGGGACTATCTGCAATGTTCTTTGAAAGATCGGCTCGATCGGCTTAATGGCCTCTGTCTAAACTGTGCTATTCTGACTCTTACATTTAGTAAGCTTTGCCTTAAATGTATCTACAATGGCTACCACAACAGCTACTTGTGATAGTGAGTTCTATATATTCATCATACCAGGGGAAAGACATTGCTCTTGAATTCACCATTGAGGCAACTTGGGAAGATTCCAACACACTCTTCACTTGTGCTGGTAGATGGTGCAGATGCGCTGGAGAGATGGAGAGTGTTATTCACATCAGAATTGCTCGCATCTGACCTGCACTTGCAGCCACAGTGTTTATATGGCTTACTCAATTCAGCTTCTGGTCAAAAGAACCCTCCAGAATGTTGATAGTGAGGGGCTCGGTATCGTTAAAACTATTGAACATCAAGGTAAGATACTCAGATTCTCTTATTGAAGATGGGCATTACCTGACACTTGCATGACACAAATGTTACTTCCCACTTGTCAACTCAAACCTAGGTATTATCTAGGTCTTGCTACATTTGGACATGGACTGCTTCAGTATCTGAGGAGTCACAAATGATGCTGAACATTGTTCAATCACCAGTGAACATCCCCATTTTGACCTTACGATGAAGGAAAGCTGGAGCAACTTAAGATGGTTTGGCTTAGGGCACCACCCCAAGGACATTCAGCAGAAACAAAAACAGAAGTAGCTGGAAAAGGTCAGCAGGTCTGACAGAATCTGTGATGAAAAATCTGAGTTAACGTTTCGGTCCAGTGACCCTTCTCAAAACTTCTGCAGAGATGTCCTGAGCTTGAGATGATTGATCTTTAACAACCAACTTCCTTTCTGTAATCAATGCAACAACAACCAAAGAGCACTTTTCCTCCAATTTCCTGACTCCAGTTGCGCTAGGGCTCTTTCATGCCAAAATCAAGTCAAATGCTGCCTTGATGTCAAGTACAGTCAGTCAGTCAGTCAGTCATTCTCATCTCAACCCTAGATTTCAGATCTTTTAGGCCAAGGCTATGATGTCAGGAGCTGAGTGGCCCTGGTAAAATCTGAACTGTCAATTAGCACATTCAACATAATAGCACTATCAATAACTCCTTCAATCACTTTGCTGATCATTAAAAGTAGACTTATAGACAGGTTGGAGTTATCCTATTTTTTGTGCATAGAACATACCTGGACAATTTCCACATTGCCAGGTGGAGGCCAATATTGTAACTGTACTAGAATAGATTGGCTTAGCATGCGACTAGTACACCGTGTACATCTTTTCAATAGTATTGCCAGAATGCTGTCAGAACCCTTAGCCTTTGCAGCATTCAGTGCTTTCAGCCATCTCTGGATCTCATGTCAAGTGAATTGAATTTGTGGAAGACTGACACCTGCGCTGCTGTGTAGATAAGGAGGAGCAAGATAGATCACACATTCAGCACTTCTTAAAGGTCAATGTCAATACTTCAGCCTTGCCTTTTGCACCACATTGGGCTCCCCCATAGATGAGGATAGGGATTTTTGTGGAGCCTCCTCCTTCTGTTAATTGTTCAATTGTCTATCACCAATCATGACTGGATATGGCAGAACTTAGATCTGTTCAGGTTGTTGTGGGATCATTTAGCAATAGAGCATCCAGCTTCCACTGCTTGGCATGCATTTATAGGAATGCTCTCCTGTGCTTTTCATTGAATTAATGTTGATAGGCTGGCTTGTTGATGGTAGAGCAGGAGTGTGCCAGTCATGAAGCTGATCATGGCTGAATATAATTGAATCGAATCACTGAATCCCTACAGTGTGGAAATAGGTCATTCAGCCCAATGAGTCCACACCAACCCTCCGAAGAGCATCCCACCCTCCCTACCCTGTAACCCTATATTTCTCATGGCTAACCCATCTAATCTGCACATCCCTAGGCACTATGGGCAAGTTAGTAAGGCCAATCCACCTAACGTGCATATCTTCGGACTGTGGGAGGAAACCAGAGCACCTGGAGGAATTCCACGCAGACACAAGTGTGTACAAACTCCACACAGACAGTCGCCAGAGGGTGGGATCAAACCGGAACCACTGCGCTGCCCCAATAATTATGCTGCTAGAATGTAACAAGGGATCACCATACAGGTTCCTGAGATGAGGGAATTATGAACATATAAGAATCTACCTACCTCTGTCTTAAAAATATTCAATGGCCCCACTACCATTGCCTCCTGAGGGAGAATTCCAAAGTCACTTAAGGCTCAGTAAAAAAAATTCATATAGCTGTTCTAAGAGAGTGCCTTTTAATTTTAAAGCAGTGCCCCCTAGTTCTGGGCTGACCCACAAGAGGAAGTATCCTTTCCACATCCACCTTGTCAAGACCGTTCCGGGATTTTAGACACTTCAAACAAGTCACACTGTCTCTTGTAAACTCCAGTGGAAATTAGCTCAGTCTATCCAAACTTTCCTCATAAGACAACCCATTTATTCCAGGTATCATTATCGTAGAATCCCTAAAGTGTGGAAACAGGCCATTCGGCCCAACAAGTCCACACCACCCCTCCAAAGAGCATCCCACCCTGACTCATTCCCTTACTCCTGCATTTCCCCATGTCTAACCCACCTACCCTAAACATCCCTGGACACTACAGGCAACTTCATTCTAGTTAACCTACTTAAACTGCTTCCAACGTATTTACTTCTTATTTTAAATAACAAGACCAAAACCGGACGCAGTATTATAGATGTGGTCTCATCGATGCCCTGAATAACAGAAGCATAAGATCTTTACTTTTATGTTCAGTTCCTCTCATAATAATGGATAGCATCCCCTTAGTCTTGATTACACTCTGCACCTGCAAACTAACTTCTTAGGATTCATTCAGAATACCTAGAACCCTCAGCACCTCAGATTTCTTCATTCAAGTAATACACTTTTTCTTTATTCCTCCTACCAAAGTGCATGTCTTTACATTTTCCCCACATGGGACTGCATCTGCCAAATGTTTGAGCACTCACTCAACCTATTTATATCAGTCTGCAGACTCCTTATGTCTTCTTTACAAAATGCTTTCCTACCTATCTTTGAGTCATCTGCAAATTCAGTTTCCATGCCTTTGTTCCTGTAATCTAAGTAGTTGTCCTGAGGAATTGTTTTGAGAGAGTAAACTGGCCCTTTATTCTCTAGAGTTTACAAAACAAAAAATATTTTTCCCTTGTTCAGCATTTAGTGATGACAAATCAATTTAAAGTGATCAAAGATCCATAGTGAATTGGGACATTTCTTTGCATGGAGTTTATTGGACCTTTGAAATGGAGAGGTCTTTTAAAATAAAATGGAATTGATCTTTAACATTGAGGAAGAAACAGTGCCCAATCCTGTTCCCGCAGGATCCACACCACCCTTGCCTCCCTCTGCCATACCCAGATTAAGGTCATATACCAAGAGGATTCTGATGATTGGCCTGGCTATTATCACAGGCGACGACTTCATCAAGCTCAGAGTTACTGCTGGAATCCCCATCACTGGAGCTGCCAATCCATTGAGGGGCACACTTCCTGCGAATTACAGCCTCCCTCGCTCTGCGCACCCGCTGTATCTGCTCCTTCTGTTTTTGGGTCCGCTGGCACTTCTTTATTCTGGGCACCTTCCGTGATGATGAGTTTACCCACTTCACGTTGGAGCTGGACTGGACGGTCTTACCCACTTTGGTCCGGGAGGATGAGGCAGATCCAGCCCTATTATATTGAGGCTGCTCCTCTCCGTCTCTTGTTGACGGGTTGTCATCTGGTGACCTGGAGGCATAACATCAAATCATCATACACAGCCATCTATGAAATTCAAACACACTGAAATCAGACTATTATTCCCCGCAGATTTTCTTTTTTTTTTTAAAAAACATTACCTCGTAGAAGCTCTTATTATCTGATCTTATGTTTCTCTCATAACCTAGTTTCTCCATTTTTAAATTCTCCCTTTACTAGTTTCTAATTTTTTCCCAACCTTCTGACATACCATTAATTTTTGCGACATTGAAGATAGATTATTTCAATTTGACACCTTCCTCAACATCCTTAGTCATCGACTTCATCCTTGCAGCGTTCTTTCTTTCTACGTGAAATATATCTTTGTTAATTATTATGAAATATCTCCTTAAGATGCCTGCCATGACTCCTCCACCATCTTACTTTTCCACCTATTTTCCCAGTCAATTTTAGCTAACTTTTTTATAAACTAAATAAAGGCAATTAGGTCAGGCATCAGTTTCAAACTCAAAGTTTCTCGCCGTCAAACCAAAAGTGAAATCCTATTACATTTGATCACTCTTGCCTAGAGGACTCTTTGCTAAGAGATCATTAATTCTGTGTTATTACACATTAGCTGATCTAAAATGAACTATTCACCTTTTGGTTCAATAACATATTTATCTAACTAAAAATCTATTCCAAATTTTTTTTTTTTAATAATTTTCAAGGCCATCTTTCCCAATTTAGTTTGTCCTATTCACATGAAGACTAAAACCATGCACAACTGCAGCAGTGCCGAATAGGCCACTATTTCTCATAATGTGACTACAGTTTTTGGCCTACAAACTACTCCAGCAATGATTTATTTCCCTTGCAATTTCTTAATTCCACCCAAACCAATTCTATTTCTTAAACTCCTGAGCCAAGATTATTTCCCAACATGATACTGATCTTATCCACCTACCTCTTTCTTCTCTGCCTAGTCTCCTTAATTATCTTGCATCTATCATTATACTGAATTGGTCACGTTGCCCTCACGTGATGGCCACATCATACCCATTCACTTTTCATCCTGCCATCAATTAATCAATTTTGTTATCTGGATTAACACAGCATTTGTAAAGAAAATCTGCCTTTCCAACATGTTTCCCTTCTCTGGCTAGCTGTTGGCATGCTCTTACGTTTGTCCACTCTGTCCCTTCCAATGTCAACCCGATTACCATTATCTATATCAACCTCCAATACTGCCTTGTCCTTTCATTCAGAGTCACAGAGATGTACAGCACGGAAACAGATCCTTCAGTCCAAATTGTCTGTGCCAACCAGATATCGTAAACTGATCTAGTCCATTTCCTACACTTCGATCCCTCAACTAGTCAGTAAAGTCTTCTCTAGAGCCAGAGTTACTCAATTTGACAGGACATGGATCCCCATACAGCTCAAAGGAAGCCTGTCGTCCCCCAATACTGGTACCAGTGCCATACAAAAGTAGTTACTGAGATGGGGATAGGTTAGTCGTATTTTTCAAAATTCCCTCAATTCTGGAAAACTTCCAGTAAAGTGGAAAACTATAAAATTAACAACTCTAAATCAAGAAAGGAGGTTAGAAAGTATGAAACTATATGCCAGTTAATTTAACTTCCATAATTAGGAAATGCTGGAGTCATTAAGGAAATATGATAGAAATCCACTATTGCAGAGATTGGGCTCATGGAATGAAACTACATTACAGCCTGTCCACTTTACAGCTAACACCTTGGGCAATTAAATTATACTTAAAATAGCCTTGACACTTGAAAAGTTATTGCATGATACTGCTACAGGATCCATCTGATTTACATCACCTGAATTTAATTTAAATCATTTACTGTTGCAAATAGAAATTTTGGTTATACCATCTATAAGTACATTTTGCAAGAATCTACTCTCTTGGTTGATCATTAGAGAGAAAAATAGCCTATGGGATGAAATTTAAATGGTCATGTAAATGACAAAGTTATTACAGAGAAATAACCGTTGAAACTAAATTCCACAGCCAAACAATTGCTGTGACAAGTGGATAATGGATTCAACATTGATATATAATTACATGACCTGAACTGATTGTTTCTTTGTTAATTCAGTGCAATCCTGCATTTACAAAACCATTGTCAATAAAGAAACAATTTTAAAAATGCTGAAATAGGTGCACATTCATTAACCCAAATGGGGATTTGTCTTTTTTGGGGCCAATAAGACCCCCATGCTTTAAGCTAATTTTCTGTGTATTGATCCACATAATATCATACTTCCACTGAAGCAGCAGGATATCTGAAAAATCAAAATGAAAGCAAATGCTGCCAACATGATTTTACAAAGGGAAATGCAGTTTGACAAATATATCAAGTTCTTTGAGAATGTAAAAAGTAGTGAGGATGATGGGAAATTAGTAGACGCCCTCTATTACAAAGCATTTCATAAGATGCCTTCTAACAGGTCACTATATACACTTCACTAACACCTTCCACCCCAACCTTAAGTTTACCTGGACCATCTCTAACACCTCTCTCCCCTTCCTGGACCTCTCTGTCTCCATATCGGGCAACCACCGAGAAACCAATATTCATTTCAAGCCCACCGACTCCCACAGCTACCTAGAATACTCCTCCTCCCACCCACCTTCCTGCAAAAATGCTATCCCCTATTCCCAATTCCTTCGCCTCCGCCGCATCTGCTCCCAGGATGAGGCATTCCACTCCCGTACATCTCAGTTGTCCTCGTTTTTCAAGGACCGTAACTTCCCCTCCTCGGTGGTCGAGAACGCCCTCAACCGTGTCTCCCACATCTCCCGCACCTCATCCCTCACACCCCATCCACGCAATAAGAACCAAAAAAGAATCCCCCTCGTCCTCACGTACCACCCCACCAACCTCCGGATCCAACGCATCATCCTCCGACACTTCCGCCATCTGCAATCCGACCCCACCACCAAAGACATCTTTCCCTCCCCACCCTTATCTGCTTTCCGGAGGGACAACTCTCTCAGTGACTCCCTTGTCCGCTCCACACTCCCGGCACTTTTCCCTGCAACCGCAGGAAGTGCTACACCTGCCCCCATACCTCCTCCCTCACCCCCATCCCAGGCCCCAAGAAGACTTTCCACATCAAGCAGATGTTCACCTGCACATCTGCCAATGTGGTATACTGCATCCGCTGTACCCAGTGTGGCTTCCTCTACATCGGGGAAACCAAGTGGAGACTTGGGGACCGCTTTGCAGAACACCTACGCTCGGTTCGCAATAAACAACTGCACCTCCCAGTCGCGAACCATTTCAACTCCCCCTCCCATTCCTCAGACGACATGTCCATCCTGGGCCTCCTGCAGTGCCACAACGATGCCACCCGAAGGTTGCAGGAACAGCAACTCATATTCCGCTTGGGAACCCTGCAGCCCAATGGTATCAATGTGGATTTCACAAGTTTCAAAATCTCCCCTCCCCCTACCGCATCCCAAAACCAGTCCAGCTCGTCCCTGCCTCCCTAACCTGTTCTTCCTCCCACCTATCCCCTCCTCCCACCTCAAGCCGCACCTCCATCTCCTACCGACCAACCTCATCCCGCCCCCTTGACCTGTCCGTCCTCCCTGGACTGACCTATCCCCTTCCTAACTCCCTACCTACACTCACCTTTACTGGCTCCATCCCCGCCTCTTCGACCTGTTTGTTTCCTCTCCACCTATCCTCTCCTCTATCCCTCTTCTATCCGCCTCCCACTCTCTCCCTATTTATTTCAAAACCCCCTTTTCTGATGAAGGGTCTAGGTCCGAAACGTCAGCCTCTCTGCTCCTATGATGCTGCTTGGCCTGCTGTGTTCATCCAGCCCTGCACCTTGTTGTCTCGGATTCTCCAGCATCTGCAGTTCCTACTATCTCTGATTCACTATATAAAAGCTGATGGCTTTGGGATAATATATTAGTCTTGACTGACTAACCCCCAACAGGTTTCAAGTGAAGAGAGAAGCATGACACAGCTTTGCACTGTTACCTTTACATTGTGTACACAAATTAAGTCAGAATTATTTCCAATGGTAAAAATTAGAGGCAAGAAAATAATTTATTAAAAAAAAAAAAATCGCAATACGCTGACAACACAGCGCTACTTGAAGAACCTCAGTTCAAGTAAAATCTCAAAGTTTAGAATATGGATTCAGTGTAAACAAAATTCCATTAAAAAAAAAGGAACTACAAAGAAACAACCACAAAAGATTGGCGTGAATGGCATCACAGTGAAATGTGTAGACAAGTCTACCTACTTAGGTCAAATATTAACAGAAGATGGTAAAGTGATGTCAGGAGGATAGAAATAGTATTTTGAGAAGATGAAAGTTGTGTTAGCAACAAGAAAACTCAAGCTTGTAATAGGAAAGAACTCATAAGATGCTATAACTCACTCAGAGATAGTAAGAACTGCAGATGCTGGGGTCAGAGATAACACAGCAGGCCAGGGAGCATCAGAGGAGCAGAAAAGTTGACATTTCGAGTCCGCATCCTTCTTCTGAAATTTCTGAAGAAGGGTCCCGACCCAAAACGTCAACTTTCCTGCTCCTCCTTTGCTGCCTGGCCTGCTGTGCTCCTCCAGCTCCTCGCCGTGTTATCTCATAAGATGCTATATTCTATCCACTTTGCCGAATGCCTCAGAATCCTTACAATAAGTAAAGATCTGTTGAAGAATATAGAGATCTTTATAATGTGGATGCTAAAAACATTCCATGTACAGGCCATAGGACAAATGGATGCGAGAGAATGATGCTAGACAGATTAGTGTGATGAAGCATGACACCAGGTCTCCTGACTGAAACTGCTAAATGCAGGACAGAAACTAACATTAAGCAAAGAGCGAGAGTAAATGGATCATTTCCAAGTTGACAAATTGTGACAGGTAGAGTGCCTTAGGGAAGACACCTGAGGCCTCAACTATTTACTCAATTATTAATGACTTGGATGAAGAGACCAAATCTATTGTGAGCAAACTTACTTAAGTTACAGAGATAAGAAGAAAAGCAAATCATGA